TAGCCATGTCTGTAGAGAATTTCTGCCAAATTGAAAAGCAATCACTACAGTGGAAAAACGTGAAATGCAATGCAAACATGCCAGTACTTTTCCATAGTGTCATGCAGAATACGTGCCAAAATGGAAGACGTCTGTTACATTGTTATGTTGCCTGACCTCTTTACTAGAAAACAATACATGCAGAATGGCATTCACAAAGGCTGAATTTGTGTCAGAATTGCATACAATCCGCCTTGAAATGTAATGAAGGCACAGCTATTGCTTTCCACCGAGCAGTACTTCAAACAACATTAAATCAATGTACCGTCTTTTACATTTAATTTTGGAACGTTTTCTGCTTGTAGCTGTTTGAATGCAATCTTGTGCATGCATTGCATTGGTTGCAACTGAATGAGAAGTACAAAAAAGAAGCCAATCAAAGTGAAAACGTAGGAGAGGTTTTGCTATGATTAAATTTCAATGAGGCAAATCCGCTCAAAATACTGTACAGTAGAAAGCAATATCTTTGTGTAATGTGTGCTCTGCATTTCATGTTTGCCCACTGTGGTAACTGCTTTTCAATTTGGCACAAATTCCTCTCCATACATGTCGGATTTGGACATCACATTTCCTAAATATTTGTCATGCTCGGCTCAGGTTTAAATTTCAACTTCAATCTCACAGCCCACCTCTCATTCTTGACTTTTATCCTGCACTTCCTCCTGATTTACTTTTAGTTTTTCCTTATATTATATTTCCACTTTAATTACCTTGAAGCAGTTTTTAATCTGACTTGAGTCACCCACTTACATTGTTGATAGAATTTAGCACGGAGATCCTTGAGGCCCACAAATGCTAGAAAATGAATGCACATAGTTTGCTATCTGAGCACTGCAGCCACCAGACATGAAGAACTGTCAAACACTGGAAAGTCACAAAGCTGAAGTCAGTTTCTTGTTTTCATTTTTCTGTTCCACCTTAAATGGTGCAGCAGTTACATTCTGGCACCTCAGGCACCATTTAAGGTGGAACGGGAAAATTTAAACAAGCTGGCGAAAGAGAAGTGACTTAATGGAGAGACATTTTACAAGAAACTGTCCTACTTTTGCGAGAAAAGCGGCTATAGCTGAAATGTTTAGAGAAAGAATAGGATGTTCTTCAAAAGCATTGCTTGATAAACTTTGTTTAAGGAGAGTTTACACTATTTTTGACAACTGAGTGTTTTATTATATTATTTTTGAATTTTATTTATCTCTAAAAATGGCATTAGAAAATATCTTTAGAAATGTCAAGGTTTGATTGGCAGGTTTGGGTCAGTTTCAGACAGAATTCAGTTGGGCTTGGGCTGAGTTCCGACTCAAAACTTGGTATGGTAATTTGGGAAAGTCTCAGGTTTTTCAGGCTACATCTGCGTTCAAACCAAATATGTCAGGCCTAATTAAAGCTCTATATCGGATCAAAGTGGGAATGGCCAAAATCATGCAAGAAAACTGACATGCAAATCACATCCAAATTCATCACTGGCGTGCAGAAAGTCAGTGTGCACCACTCATCAAAATAGGTAGAAATATTTTGAAAGAGTACACTACATGTTGTGAAATTATCAGTGAAGAACAAAAAAGTGAGACTCCAGTGGATATGAGAGTGTGAAAATTGGACCCCTGATGAGTGGCAAAAAGCCTGGTCAGATGAATCCAGGTCCCTTTTGGAAGGATCTGAAATTGAGTCCATGGAGCCATGCTGTTTGGTGCCAACAGAGCAGGTCTGTGGTGGAAGCATGATGGTCAGGAGAATGTTTGCTGGACACTATATGGCCCCAATACCCATTGAAAAACATGCGAATGGCACACAGTGCCTGAACATCATTGCTGAACCGCTTCTCCTCTCAAGGCTGCTGTTTGTCCACACTCATATGGACACTTCCAGCATAACATAACATGTAACAAGGTAGGCGTCGTCACTGAACGGCTCTAGGAACAAGATGGTGAATTTTCAATGCCTGTCACAGTTCCCACATCTCAACCCTATCAAGCACCTTCATGATGAGGTGGAAAGGGTGCTCGTAGCAAGACCGCAAGACCGTGCAGCTAGCCTATTTGCAGCTGCACAATGCAATGCAATTGCACACGGGAGAAGATTACTGCACATCCACCATCTTGTAGACTCTGCAGATGAATTATGCTATTGTGAAGGCTAAAGAAGGCACTATACACTAGAGGAGAGTGGAAAACAACCTCACATATTTAGGCTGGGCCTACACTACATGATGGTTTTGCCTGATTTTAACCTCCATTAGCCCCTTGCAACATATTTACACAATCTGAAGTTTTACAATTTAAAACATTCACAAGTCCTGTAGTGTGAGAAGGTCAGAGATTTACTCAATGAGTGATTCAGTGAAGAGACACACACACCTCCTGAACAGCAGAGCGCAGAGACAGAGGAGCTGCATTTAAAACACAGGCAGATAAGAGCCATTAGCATGTTTATAATGTTCGATCCAGATGTCAGGTCACTCTCTTTATAGTTTCAGCTCAGCTGCCAGTTTGTAGTGAAATATTTCTCCAGCTCTCACTGTATCAGCGCTTCTCAGGCCCCATGTTAATCCCCAGTTTGCGCTGTCACTGCACATAAAAGCACAAACAGGCCCAGTCCAGTAAGTTCCGCTTTATTTGTGTCATGCGATCTGAGGAGATCTGCATGACACAAATAATCGTTCCGCAGACCACAGCAGTGGAATAAACCGGATGTTAATTTTTTTTGGAATTCATGGACGGCAATTGTCTCACTGTTGGATTCCAGACAAAACCCAGCATTATACAACACAAAATAAAAGACTACAGAGTGTCAATCTGCCTTATTCCACCTTAAATAAACAATCTATACTGATAAAGCTCTCTTCTAATAATCACCCATTTTCACTGGCACTGCAGTCACCATGGCAACTTTTCCAACGCAATCATGCGAATGCATTATGCAAAAAGTTTACCGCTGGTCAAATTACATATTTTGTTGATTTTCTAAGTGAAAATAATTTAACATCAACTACAGATAATACACTTCTACACACTTTAATGCACAATTACTGTTTATCTGAATTTAATATATGTGGTATAAAAGTGGTGCAGAATTTATGGCACATTTAATGTGATGTTTTATTTTGTTCCCATTTTGTTAAATTCAGCAAATAAATATAAATTGATCACTAAAATGTGCAAAATTGTCACATTTAGGGGTGATTGATTAAGAGGATGTTAATTCATTTTCATTTAGAAAATCAACAAAACGTCACTTGACTGGGGTAATCTTAATAATCTTACTACCTAATAAACTGGCAACTTTGTATATAACAGACTTTTTTCGGTAACTGCACAATAGTTTTAATGTTTTTACTATTATTCTAAAATGCAGATAGTTGTCCGAATACTGAACTGTTCAGAAATTTCCATTTTCAGCATGGCTGATTTTGGCCCACGGCAGCATTCAGACTTCTGGCTCACCCTGAGCTACCCACTAATCTATTAAGCAATGCCCGACTCACGCTGCATCCACACACCCATCTATATATGAAACATCTGATTCACACGTGCAGTGGACACGGCTTACAAATCATCAGTCACCCCGAGGCAAGTCCGCTATGAACACGGCCTATGTTTCAGTGTCGATGAGTCAAGCTCCCTTTCCTCTGGTTGTCACAGATCACAGAGTGCTCATAATTAATCCTCCTTCCCTGTGAGAGGTGACTTCACAAAAGCCTCTGAGTCATCGTCCCATGCCGAAGATGATATTTAATGCATGAGGGATTAGAAACAGTTAACAGAGAAAGAAAACCTGAACATCAACAATTTTTTTTACAAATTGCATCCAAAGTGGAAACTTTCATTTAAAAAACCTGTTAATCATGTTTTAAACTAACCTACACTATTTAAAAGAGTTCTCTTTAAATGCTCCCAAGCATCAGATTCATCCGCCTGGGGAAGGGGACCGAAGCACAGCCAGCATTACGTATTATGTTCTTCCACATGTTGAGTGCAATTACACATTTTCATCAGAAAGGTCCCCAAATCCTACGAACTTACATAGTGTAGTTTGAAGCTTTAAAAAACATTGTTTTTACATCTCATATGCATAAATGGTTCTCTAAAGAACTGTCAGTTGAAAGGTTTTCAGAGAACCAAAAACGATGCAAATAATCTTTTTGGCACCTAAGAGCGTAGCTAAAATTTTCATTCATTGTACTCGTTTCAGAGTATGTGGAAAACACTGTTCTAACTCGTTTTTTGTTTCTATTCCTTCCATTCAGATTTCCTTTGGGAACAAGTGCCCCTGCTAGCATGGTGTAAAACAGTGATTAGAACCACATCAGCCACCGAAGGCAGAGGATAACTGTTTGTGATTGAAACTGATTTGACAGGTTCATTAGGAACTGCTGATAAGGGAATAGTGTAGCCACAGTGCACAGTGTGGAGGCATGAGTAGGGGGTCCAGGCCTGTGAACTGTGGTGATACTATTATCACGACTTTAGGAGATTCTGGGATTTTGGTTATGTTGTTAAGTTCAAAGCTGACTTTCAATCAGACACTGATTCATGACTGGCTGCTCCTTGATTTAATATACGGTGCCTAAATTAAAACTGCTGTGGGAGCTGCAACCAAGATGAGCCTAATCTAACATTCTGTTCGAACGGTACAGCTGTAACTCACATTACTGAGACATACGTAAAAAACAGATGCTGAAGAAACAATGGAACAGAACAACTGTTGCTTAAAGACCTAAGGCCCTGAGCAGATATACCTCAGCAGATGGAGGGACACCTTGAAAAGAAAAACACGGCAAACCAGGGCACGATGAGATGCACAGGTTTTATTACCAATGCACCATTACAAACAATAGATACCGCGACTCCTTCAAGGTCAGTGTGAATGAGCCTTAATTTGCACTTAGGAGATTAGGCAAGTGCTGGATTTGGCAGTGTGCACTTATCAGGGTGGGTTTTTTATTGAGTTCTTCCTGCTGCACTTTAGCTGCTGTGATCCTGTAGAGCTTCCGCCATGAATAGCTTGCCAAGGATCTACGAGGTGAACTCCTTCACGTTCTGACAGTAGCCGTTGATTTGTCCTTGTTAGGGGAAAGAAAACATACATACAAATGTAAATCACAGCTAGATGACTAGTTAGAACTGCAGTGTCATTTTCAGAGGAGGATTTTTGTGTGTACAATTGGAGGAAATTCAATCAAGACTCCATTGGAACGTCCCCAAGGAAAGACACAGTACAAGTGGCTGTGCCAGAATTTGCCATCTGAATTGGAATCCAAGGATCAAATCCCTCAAGAATAGTATATATAGCTGTAAGCGGCAATTGAGGGAGCCAAGCACTCTATGATGTGGCTTCAGAATCCTGAAAATAGTGTAGCAGATGGTAGAGTTGCCCAATCCAAGCTCAAATTGTTAGAGTTAGGCCTAATTTATACCCTTTGGGTCAAATATTATGGACAACTAACAAAAACATGTATACTGACTGCTATAGTCTCTGAATCATTCCTTTGTTTTGTTTTAACCCGACAGGATTAGTGAGTGTTTACGGCCTATAAAGCCCCTTACTTGTGTGGTTGTTTTTTACAATCCTGTCTAAGTGTTCTGTGTTTGGGCTTAGAGTCTTATCTTTCGCTATGTAATTCCGCATTAGTCCACAGATGTTGAGAGTCAAGGTTTAAGCATTTTTGAGATTTTTCAACATGGCAAACCAGAATGTCAGACATTGCAGGTCAAAGCAAAGCTATTTGCCAAGAGGCCCTTATCAATTTATGGAAATTTCAGAGCTCAGAGTCGAGGAGGCAGAAGTTATGGCTGATTGAAATGTGCAATCGTGCCCTGGTAGAAAAGTGGGCACAGAAATAAGCAATCACTACCAGACTTCGACCTATTTGGAAGCTTGCGCAAAAATGCAAGATTTGATCAGATTCAAAGCACTCGGCACAACACCTCTCACCTATGCTGAATGCTAGCACATTTTATGGATAAATCATTAAATAATAGACTACTGGGCAGTCCCTGATCTTTGGAGTGCCTCTGCTGCGCTGGCTGTCCAGTAGTTTGTCCACTAGAGGTGTTAAAATCGCTTTAATGCACTGTGATCCATCAATTTGAAGATGGTATTTCAATTGCATTGATTTTACTACATTATAATGAACTACACACTTATATTTGTGACCTAAATAAACTGGTTTATATTATTTTGAACGATAAAATCCTCCCAAAAACCTTGCTATTCTGTTTGTATTGTCTATACTCCACGACTGTTTTAAAAGGTCCTTTAGTCACATTTGTGCATTCATCCCAGCGCACACCTTATAGCTCAGTCTTGTAAGAAGTAAGCAAGTCAGAAAGTAAGTCAGCAAGTCCATAAATCAGAAAGTCGGTCAGCAAGTCCATAAGTTAGAAAGTAAGTCCGTAAGCCAAAAAGTAAGTCAGAAAGTAAGTCTGTAAGTCAAAATGTAAGTCAGCAAGTCCACAAGTCAGAAAGTAAGTGAGTATTTCACACAGTAAGTGAGCAAGTCAGAAAGTAAATCTATAATCAGTAAGTTAGTCAGTAAGTCGGTCAGTACTTAGGTCACCCAAGCACACACCTCATGGCCCTGTCTTGTAAGTCAGTAAGTTGATAAGTAAGTCAAGTAAGTCACCAAGTCTGTTAGTCAGTAAATCAGCATGTCCATAAGTCAGTAAGTAGGTCCATGAGTAAGTCACTCACCCAAGCATGAACCTCATGGCCCTGGTTTGTTCTTCAGTAAGTCAGTATTTAAGTTAGTCTTCAAGCAAGTAAGTCAGGAAGTCGCTCAGTAAATAAGTCAGTAAGTCAGTCAGTAAATAAGTAGGTCAACAAGTAAGTCAGTTACCCAAGCATGTGCTTTGTGGCGATAGCCATAGATCACTAATTCAGTAAGTCAGTCAGTCACTAATTCAGTAAGTCAGTCAGTAATTCAGGAAGTCAGTCAGTAATTCAGGAAGTCAGTCAGTCAGCAATTCAGTCAGTAATTCAGTAAGTCAGTCAGTCAGTAAGTCAGTAAATAAGTAAGTCAACAAGCAAGTCAGTTACCCAAGCATGTGCTTTGTGGCAATAGCTAGTCAGTAAGTCAGTAAGCCAGTCAGTAAGTCAGTCAGTAATTCAGTAAGTTAGTCAGTCAGTCAGTAAGTCAGTCAGTCATTAATTCAGTAAGTCAGTTAGTAAGTCAGTCCATCAGTAATTCAGTCAGTCAGTCAGTAATTCAGTAAGTCAGTCAGTCAGTCAGTAGTTCAGTAAGTCAGTCAGTCAGTCAGTCAGTAATTCAGTAAGTCAGTCAGTAAGTCAGTCAGTAATTCAGTCACACACTCACTCGTGTTGCGCAGACTGAAGTTTCTTCATGGGGGGCACCGTTTGCACTTGAATAGCTTTTGATGCTTCATAAGGGCCGTGTGTGTCTGTGTTGAAATGAATTCCTAACAGAATCCTAAGCGTAATCGAGTCACTGTGAGGTCAGAGATCTACACTCCTGTTGTTCTTGTTTGAGAGTGGAAACGTGTCTTTTTTGTAATCACCCTGCTGGACTCATGCAGATGGGGAAATCAGCTGGAACAGGAGTGAGGAAAGGACTTTGCCTGGAGTTGAATAGCCAGGATGACCCCTCAGGCACCTGCGATGAGAAGAGTGTCCATGCGTGGTGGAGGCTTGAACATCTTGCTGATGTCTTCCTCCGGCAAGGCAGCTCACCGCGACTCTGCCGCTGGGCATTCTCCTGAAGATACTAGAGAGAGAGAGAGAGAGAGAGAAATAAAAGGAATAAAAGGAAGAGGGGGTGAGAGTAAAAGGGGAGGAGAGAAAGGAAAAGAGGAAGAAATAAGAGAAGTATGGTGAGACAGAAAAAGAGAGAGAAATAAGAGACAAGAGACAAGAAAGAGAGAGAGAGAAGAAGGGGGAGTTGAAAAGGGGAAAAGTGAAAGAAAGAAAGAAAGAAAGAAAAAAGAAAAAGTAAGAGTAAAAGAGGGAGAGGAAGAAAGAGAGAGAAAGTGAAAGGGATAAAGTGAGAGAAAGAGAGAGAGATGAAGAAAGAAAGGGAAAGAGAGAAATCAATTAAATCATGAAAGACACCAGCAACAGGCAGTAAGGCTTTGTGTGGAATCCTTCTCAGCTGCTCTGTCTGCTCCAACAACTGAGATCAGTCTGGGGGAGGTGAGAGAGAGCGAGAGAGCAAGAGAGTGAGAGAGAGAGAGAGAGAGTGAGTGAGAGAGAGAGAGAGAATCGGCAACAACATAATGGAGTCAGACAGAGCAGGAGAACTAGGATGAACACAGGGCAACAGCACCGATTCTATTATCTGGACTTATAAACAAGGTTTGATTTGAGGGATGGTGTAAAGGAATGCCTTCCCTGGTCCACATAGACCAAAAATAAAACCATTCAAGCCATTCCCTCTTTACACTCCCTTCGGAACAGGGACCCTACTGTCATGTAATGTCACTTCATTTATGTCTATGATCCATATTTTAATTTCATTGATATATCAAGTTAGAGTTGGGATAAAGCACCTACTAAAGCGGTAATGACAGAGAAATGCACACTTTTTTTGGCAGTGCAGCAGAGTTTAACCTTCAGATTCAGAATCGGAGAAGCAAACTAGTGATTTTCTTTCATTAAACAAGAAAAAAGTTGGTTGATGTAAAATGTGCCATTTTAGAGAAATTTGCCAAGCAGAATTGCTTACAGTAGTGGTGAATGGAACCAGACGTCTTAGAGTTTAATGCATCTAAAAGCTCCATCACTGAAAGTTATTACATGGAAATGGTTATGAGTTCACTACCTGGTGCCTGAGACACTGTTTTACGACAGCTTTAGATATACTTTTGGCTTGAAATCATTTAAACATAGCAAATTAGTCCCCAAAAAATGTAATTTTTTTCCTGTTTACTGCTATTTTATCTTCATCATCAATATTACATATTGTTCACTGGCGGTTTTAGATAGTATATAAAATGTCTATATTTGTGTTGCAGACAGGCCCAATCCCATTTCTTATTTTTACCCCTACCCCTTGTTTTTGAGTGTTACCTTGCTCCTTGGAACTGAGTTACAAGGGGTAGTGGTTAAAACAGGCTACTAGCGCTGCTCTGTAGGCGACCCTGCCAGTCTGCAATGACGGGGTATTTATTTTCACCAACCCCTAATTCTTCAGCGATATGAAGCTGAAGTCAGCTATTCACCAGCTTCTAGTTCAAATTTTCCCGTTCCACCTTAAACGCAGCAGTAGTTACATTCTGGCGCTTCAGGCATCAGAACTGCTGGACTATTTAAGGTGGAACGGGAAAGCTAGGTAGCACATTTATATGTTTAATGAAAAGTAAAAATAAAACAAAAAAATCAGACGCCAACTGCATTTCCGGAATCAGGATAAGCATGGCTTATGCATATTGATGTCAGCAGATGTGTTAACACTAGTGCTCTGGTCAGTGCTGGCTCTTCCTAATAAGTAACATAAGCAGCTTGTTAGGGCTTACGACCAGCAAGGGCGGCCTAACAATTTCTGGGTTATTACAGTAACATTATGAACTTACACATCTGGAGCGGAAAAACAGAGAAGGAAAAGAAGAAGCAAAAAAGCTAAAAGATAAAGGTATGTTTCTGTGGTGTTAACCGGCGGGTTTATGACATTTGTTTTGGATTTAGTTGGGCTAGAATTAGAGGATCTGGGATCTGTCTAATGGAGCAGGTTCAACTTAGGCTTTTCTTTTTCTTAGGAGGTTTCAGCTTCACTTTACAAACAGCAGTTAACAACTTTATCTGTTAATCCAGGTTTAGATACTCAGGCTGTGATTAAACCAGGTTTAGACAATCAGACTGTGATTAATCCAAATTTAGATACTCAGACTGTGATTCGTCCAAAACACAGGCTTTGATTAATTCAGTTTAAGATGCTCAGGCTGTGATTATTTCAGGTTTAGATACTCAGACTGTGAATAATCCAAATTTAGATATTCAGACTTTGATTAGTTCAGTTTTAGATACTCAGGCTGTGATTAATCCAGGTTTACACACTCAGGGTGTGATTATTGCAGGTTTAGATATTCAGATTTTGATTAATCCAAGTATAGATACTTAGGCTGTGATTATTTCAGGTTCAGATACTCAGACTGTGATTAATCCAAATTTAGATATTCAGGCTTTGATTAATTCAGTTTTAGACACTCAGGCTGTGATTAATCCAGGTTTACACACTCAGACTGTGATTATTGCAGGTTTAGATACTCAGACTTTGATTAATCCAGGTTTAGATACTCAGACTGTGATTGATCCAAATTTAGATACTCAGACTGTGATTGATCCAGGTTTAGAAACTCAGGCTTTGATTAATCCAGGTTTAGATACTCAGACTGTGATTGATCCAAATTTAGATACTCAGGCTGTAATTAATCCAGGTTTAGATATTCAGACTGTGATTAATCCAGGTTCAGATACTCAGACTGTGATTGATCCAAATTTAGATACTCAGGCTGTGATTAATCCAGGTTTAGATACTCAGGCTGTGATTAATCCAGGTTTAGATACTCAGGTTTTGATTAATCCAGGTTTAGATACTCAGACTGTGATTGATCCAAATTTAGATACTCAGGCTGTGATTAATCCAGGTTTAGATACTCAGACTGTGATTGATCCAAATTTAGATACTCAGACTGTGATTAATCCAGGTTTAGATACTCAGACTGTGATTAATCCAAGTTTAGATACTCAGACTGTGATTAATCCAAGTTTAGATACTCAGACTGTGATTGATCCAGGTTTAGATACTCAGACTGTGATTATTTCAGGTTTAGAAACTCAGGCTGTGATTATTCTAGGTTTAGATACTCACCCTGTAATTAATCCAGGTTTAGACACTCAGGCTGTGATTAATAAATAAATCAAATTTAGACAGCTTGTGGTAGTCACTGTCAGTAGTTAACCTCTAATATTACAGTACATCTGCTAGCAAAATGGAGGGCAACAAAAACCTGCTTAGAGCCCCAAATCTGCTGTTGAAATCATGCCAGATATTCAAAATATCACAGCAGGTAGTTTTGTAAGATGCCAGTAAAAGAACTGAAGTGAGGCAACAGTAAATTATCCAGTATTGCACATTTTGAATTCCATAGTATGAATCATAGTAAAACAGGAGAGATCTTAATAACCAACCCCCCCCCGTCATTCAAACCCTTTTACAATTCAACCACTGCTTATAAACAAGAACAGTCAGCTGGCACAGCTGGCCTTATTGTCTCATAAGGCTGTTCAGGCTGTGGCCAGAAATATAAAAAAAAGCTTCCAGGTACATTCTGTATGCACATTTGAAGGTCAATGCATTCGATGACACTCTAAGGTAATACATTTAAGTTGTCAAATATTACCCACAAGGCTGCTATATACTGTCTAAGTGTCAAAATATATTAAAGTGTTACTTCTTCTGGTCTACACCGAATGCTTTTAATCTGACACACATAACTAAATAAGCACTGAGGCTAGCTGAGTGTTCTTCATCCTAGTTTGGCAAGCAAGACTATTTAAGTACTAAGACACCATGTGGACTTTCCTAACCTTTAGAAATCTAGAGGTCTTAACTTTTCTTGGACATTAAAGTTGTCGACTTTATCCACATAACTGACCGCAGATAACATGTTCTATTTGACAGTTATGATGATATAATTAACTAATAAAATAATAATTTTGTTTAACGTATAGTTTTTTTAAGTAACATGATGCAGTCACATGCAAAAGTCTGAACACCCCCACTATCTTATCCTTAGAAAGTGCTAATAAATCATGTTTTAAGGTTATAAACTGTTAAAAATGGACATCAGTTCCCAAACTTTATAGCAAATAAAATAGGGTGTAATACTGTAATACTGTAAATGAAACAATCAAAGTAATTAACATTACTCTTCACTGGACCCCTGAAAAACAGCCCCAGACCTTTATTCCTCCTTCAGTAGGTAGCGTTCTCCTGGCATTTACCAATTTAGACTCATCCATCAGGCTGCCAGATAGTGAAGCATGATTCATCACTCCACAGAACATGTATCCACTGCTCCAGAGTCCAGGGGTGGCATGCTTCACACCGCTCCAGACGACGCTTGGCATTGTAGATAGTGATCTTAGACTAGTGTGGAGCTATTTGACCATGGAAACCCATTTTACAAAGCTCTTGATGCACAGTTCTTGAGCTGATGTTGCTTCCAAAGGCAGTTTGGAACACTATAGTGAGTGACACACAACAGAGAATAGATGATTTCTATGTGCTATGTGCTTAGACTGGCCATGGCTCTGCTTTGTGAGTTGGCCTACCGCTTAGTGGCTGAGCTTTTATTGCTTCTAGATGCATGCATTTCACAATAATATCACTTACAGTTGACTGAGGCAGCTCTAGTAGGGCAGAAATTGAATGTACTGACTTGTGGCATGGCATCCTATGACAGTGCCATGTTTAAAATCACTGAGCTCTTCAAAACAATCCATTTTACTGCCAATGTTTGTGCAGATTGCATGGCTCTGTGCTTTATTTTGTACACCTGTTATCAATGGATGTGGCTGAAAAACCTGAACTTTCTCAATAATAATGCCTTGCTAATGCTTAATAATTTGTAAAGAAGCACACCTTAAAATACAGTGTTACCTAAAATATCCCCTCCTTACAAACGTGGCTCTTTAAACAGTCTACTTGGTCCATTGAGCTAGTAGAAATATCACGTCACAATAAGCTTTTTGTAACCGCCAGCGATA